TTTCCTTGAGTTTAGTGCTTGTTTTGTAAAAAGTTTTTGCTCCGGTATTGGTTTTGGTGATCAGCGGAAAGAGTTGTTGAAGCCTACAAAACTTTAATTTTACTTAAATCATATAACTTAGATATAATTGCAATTCAAGAAACTAATTTAAACAATTCTAATACTAGAAACTTCTTAGCTCAACATGAGGCTTTGACTCTTTCTGGACTTCTAAAACTGCAATACTAGTTGGAAAAAAACATATTAAGATCAAGGAAACAAAATCAACTCTAGAAGACTGAGCAATTCATGCTAAAATATCAGTCAACAATCTAAACCTCTCACTCACAAATGTCTATGCTCCTCCAAACCTGAGAGACAAACAAACATTCTTCTCAAATTGGTCACCTCAAATTGATGAAGGCTTTATAAATATACTTGCTGGAAACTTCAACATTAATCTGAATCCCCAGAAAGATAGAATTAGCCAAGCACTAGTTCAAAATAATCCTTTCAGAGCTTTGCTACAAAACTTAATTACTAAATTTACTGATTCAGCTAACAACTTTGAAAATGAACCATTTATCACTTTTTACCAAAATACACAGGGTAATCAATGAATAGCAACTTGGCTTGACTACATCTTTATTGATGCAAACTTTAGCCATCTAGAAAGAAAAACTCTAATACGTTTTGGCAACTCAGACTACCTTCTTGTAGAATGTACAATCCAGTATCAGTCTACACCAACCCAAGCAGCAATTTGGAAACTTGACCCAAAAAACTACTTGACTTTGAAGTTAGAGAAAAAATTACTCAAAATCTTCAAAGCTGCAATGATATTAGCAAGTGAGATTTTCACAAATACATAATTCAATCAATAGTTAGATTAGTCTAAAAAGCTTCTAGAAAAGAAAATTCAAATTTTGCAGAATAGGCTATCTAAATTAAACAATAGAATAGTGAATGACTTCAGGCTTACAGACCTCCAAGCTTCCTCAGAAGAAATTAAAGACCAAATTCAAGAGGAGCTCTAACACCTCTCTGAGAAATAGCAAACCAGATCAAATGCCAAATGAATTGAAGAAGGAGAAAAATCAACCAAATTCTTTTTCTCTTGATACAAAATTAGACACTCCTCTTCATGCAGCACCAAAGTCAGAAACCCAAATAACCCTACATCTAACTCTCAACTAGATGTTTTGGAATACATCAAAAATTTCTACAAATCTCTTTACAAAGCAGAACCAATTGATCTCCAAGTAGCAGAAGAGCTACTCAGAAATGCTCCTTTTATCTCACAAGACCAAAATGATGTCCTAGTTAAACCTATCACTGAAGAGGAAATCAGTAACACTATAGATAACCTCCCAAACAACAAATCTCCTGGACCAGATGGGCTTACTTATGAATTTTACAAATCTCTAAAGAACTTTTTACTTCCTTTACTCTCTAAGCTTTTCAACAATGTTTTAACCATGAGACAAATACCTCTCTCATGGAGCAAAAACATAATTACTCTTATTCTTAAGAAATTAAATGATCTAGAGAATATTAGTAACTAGAGACCTATTTCACTCGTTAATAGTAATATGAAGATTTTTATGAAAATCCTTGCTAATAGACTAAACTTTGTCTGCAGTGACATAATTTCTCCTTGTCAACAAGCTTTTGTTATTAGCAGATCTATTACTGACACAGCTTTGAACATTCTCACAACTTTAAGAAACCAACCTGACCAAACAAAACAAAACTGGCTACTTTTTCTTGACCAGCAAAAGGCTTTTGACAAAGTCAGCTATCAATTCATGAAAATGGTCCTGAACAAAATGAACTTTAATTCCAAGTTCAGCAAAATAATTGACTCTCTCTTTAGTCTACAACAAGCTTATATTATAAATACAGGACACCTCTATGAGCCTTTTAGAGTAGAGAGAGAGGTCAGATAGGGTGACCCTCTCTCTTCTCTTCTATATGTCTTGGCTATAAACCCTCTTCTCCAATTCCTACAGACAAACCTCAATGGCATCAAAGTGTCAAACTCATCTTTCCAAGTAGCAGCTTATGCAGATGACCTAACAATTGGAATTAGTTTACCTTCAGACTAGGAATCTCTTAATTATATTTTCAACAAATACAAATTTGCTTCCAACTCCAAAGTCAACAAATCAAAATCTATTTTGGTCCCTCTTACAGACAATGCTTGCAGAGTTGAGCTTTGCAACTAAAACAGGTTCAAAATTCTTACCCAAAATACAGATACACTTTCAATTCTAGGCTATGAAGTAGATATCAAAGGTGCCTCAAAAAAAACCTATGGACAAAAATAACCAAATCAATTAAAGACCACATTAGCAACCTATCAACTAGAAATTTGTCTCTTAAAGGCAAAATTCTAATTACTAAATCTCTTCTAATCTCTAAGATATAGTATGCCGCTTATCTACTCCTACCTAGCAGAAAACAGCTTGAAGAAATCAACAAAATCATAATGAACTGGATCAAAAACAAATCCAAGTTCCTTCCTTGCTATTCAACCTTCTAACTTAATTTGAACCAAGGAGGACTTTCAGCACCAATCCTTAAAAATATTATTGATGCCAGATTAACTTCTATTTGAATTAAACTTCTCACAAGCAACTGCCTATGGGCAAGAATAGAGAGGGACCTAATCTCAAACAATATTCATGTCGCAAGAGACATCTTAACTCATTTCACTCTCAACCAAAACTTTGCTAAATCAAAGGATGGCCAAAGAGATAGAAACCTTATCTTAGGGCATAGAAAAGACTCCAAGGCAAAGTTGATTCCACAGACAACTGGCCCTGAGCCTTAGAATATCTTAAAATGAATATGATATCAGAAGCAGAATTTACAGTTAAAAAAGCAACTGAACTTTTGCTACAGCTATATCCACTTAGAGAAATCTCTAATTCTGTAGAACTTTCTCATAATAACATTAATCCCTTTTCTTGGATTAAATCAAAATATTTACTAAACAAAAAAATAGACATCTTCTGGCAGCTCGCCTACAAAGCTCTTCCCCTAGGTTACAGACTTAAACATATTTTACAAGACCAAAATAGGTCCTGTTCTAATTGCCAAGACTCTCTACAAACTCTAAAACACTTCGTGCTCAGTTGTGAAATCAGTTAAGTATTCTGGACTACAGGCTACAATGTTTTAAAACTCACAGGAACTGACTCCCAACCTTCCTTCCTTATTGAAATATTTACTGCAACTAATATCTCTCACTCTTCAAAATGAAAAGCCACCCTATGGATTCATATTAATATTATCTATGAAATTTGGTGCTGGTATACCACAGCAAAATAAGGTAACCAAAAGATCCCAGCAAGTGCTATCTCAGACCTTGCTAAATCTAAACTATGTAGAATACTTAAAACTCTACAAAAGTGTCTATCACTTAAAAAATCTAGTATAGAAAAGGATAGCATAGTAAAATTTCTAAACTTTGATATATAATTTGTATAATTTTTATTTCACTCAATAAAAAGACGCATTCTGCATAAAAAAAAAAAAAAAAAAAAAAAAAAAAAAAAAGAGACTGATTCCTTCTGTAATATAAGTTTATTAACTGGATTTGTTTTGGAAGATTACTTCTAGGAAGGAATATTTGCTTCTAGAAAAATGAAATTTTGCTGCCATTAAGTCTTCCTCCTAGTTTAGCTGCGAGGGCTGCTACAATATCATTTGATGCAATGTTACTCATATTTGGTATGTCCAATATGAGAGCATTTTCATTTTTTGAGTGGATCTTTGGTTTGGGGAGAGAGCTAGTAAAAGTAGCTTTTTCACCTTTGAATTTTGAAAATAATTTAGACCATTTTTTTATTTGTGACTTATCTTGCAGTTTTTCTTGTATAGGATTTAATATTAAGCTAGGAGTTAATTGGTTCACAAGTTGGTTTGTTACACTTAGTTGATCTTCAGTGTTCATGTGATCAGATATGTTTGTTTTATTTGCTAGTATTGTTTTTGTTGTTTCTGTAGTTTTTTGACATGTTTATTTGTTTTTTTTATTCTCTAAAGAAGAAATTTTTTTAGTTTCTTATTCTACTTTAATGTTGTCCTCAACTTCTTTGGCCTAGTTTAATTTTTTTGCTTTCACTAGTTCAGTTTCTAGTTTTTTTGTATTCCTTGTGGATATTTTATTACTTGAAGTTGCATTTTTTTCAACTTTTTCCTCTTCTGTTAAAAGGTCAAAGATTTTGTTGCTGGTTTTGTTATTTCTGGTATTTGTTCTTTTGTTACTTAAGTTGCTCATAACTAAACCTGAGAGCCTTCTTTTTTTTGGTGTAAGAGCTTTAGCTCTTCCTGTTGTGTTTTGAAGTAGATATTTAACATCTGGTGTCTTAATTTTGTTTTTTCAGAATTTTACTGGTGATGAACTAAAAAGAGTTTTTCATTTTAGTTTTTCTGTTATGTTTTGAAGTAGATATTTAACGTCTGATGTCTTAATTTTGTTTTTTCAGAATTTTACTAGTAGTGAACTGAAAAGAGTTTTTTATACTATATGTTTATATGTTTTTGTTTGTTTTCTAAGTTATTTTCTATCTTATATGTTTTATTTTCTTTGTTATTTTCTATAGATGAAATTTCTTTGTTTTTTCTTTATTCTTCAAAAGAGAGTTTTCTAATTTAGACTAAGTGTTTTTTTTTTTTTGTTTACTTGTTTTAGAAGAGTTTTGGTTATCTCTATAAGTTTCCTTAAGAGAATTGTTATTAGTTTCCTGGTTTTCTTTAGTTAGCGAAGACAAGTCAAAGATCTTCTTTTTGGTTCTTATATCTACTGTTTTAGATCTTTTTATTAATGAACTACTCATAGTTAGGAACAGAAGTTTTCTTTTCTTTGTAGTTATAGCAGACACCTTTTTCTCTAAATTTTATGGGAGTTTTGTAGAGAATTTAGTAAAATTTTAGTAGTTTGTTAATTTCCAGTAGTAAATAAAAAAAAGTTTTTTTTGAAAATGGATTTTAACCCTAGTGATTACTTTCTAAACAGACAATTTAAAGAAATAAACTAAATAATACTTATAATTCATATAGAATTGCAAAAATGTTCTAAAGTACAGTCTAACCTCCTTATAGTCACTCTCTATATAATCACAAACTCTTTATAATCACATTTTTCGTAGAACCAAGCTTTTTATTAATACAAATACCTCTATA